CCAGCACGGAAAGCAAAATGCCCTACCCATCGAATTTCACTTTTTCACGTGGTCGCAATGACATTCTGCACACCACTCGTCCCACGTTTAATCCTTAACACTCATGTTCAACATTTAAAAACGACAAAGTTAAATTTTCTTTACTATCTAAATGTTTTTGAGGGCTGCTGAGAAAAGCTTACCGCAGTCAAACGGAGGTTGAGGACAGTGATCCTGTGAGACATGATCAGCACTCGGCAGGCTACGATAAGAACTTCCTGCAGTGCTTATTCCACTTTCTGCTGGCGTTTGTGGAGATTTCAGATCTAGCGTTAGCGGCCGTTGAGGTCGAAATCCCAAGCTTGTTGAACTTGCTGGAAGAGTTGGCGCTTGTATTTCCGGAGGATGATCGGACGTCTCCAGAGAACTTAAAAGACCAAAACTTTCAACTTGCTCAGTTCAAAAATTTTGAATTATTAGCACAGAGGAATACGAAAGCTGTGACGAAGATCCGGACTGCCGGTGTAAACTCTCGAAACTCCCTCCCACAGACGCTCTAAGCTTTGCTTCCGCTACCACAGACAAATTCTTCGCTTTGATAACTACCCAAGCTCAGCTGGTCGTCAATGCTACAAAAATCATTCTCTGATGGACAGATCGCTAACGATCCGACTAAGAAAATACCACTTTTTCTCCTACCCGTCGCGGGTAGTTAAACAAGTCAGCTGTGTCAATTAGTCCGAACAACCCGTGCTCATTTCCTTTAGTATGTTAAAATGTTTAGCGGAAACAATTGTGATTAACACCTGATCTATTCAGCGACGGGTAAAATGAGCAAATCTGCGTTTCAGCCCTCAAGTTTGAACGCAAAAATCGCATGTCAATGAATGCTAAGGTCCTTCGTACACAAAGAAATGTTTATAAAATAATTTGATTATAGATAATTATAGATTACAGATAATTACAAAGAAACGTTTATAGATAATTAAGGTAATTTATGTCTTTCGCACAATTCCAGTCATGAGATTACCTATCAACAGAATAATGCGCAGCAGCATCGGCAAACGCAAAGCCTTCTGTTTGTTCGCCAACACAATCGTCAGCAGGGAATCGACACGATGCGTTCAGCTGAAAGTAAGTCATTTAGCAGCACCATAAAAGAATTATTACGCAGAACTGCTTGCAAAAAATGTTTTAACGATTTCAAAAAGGATAAAAACACGCGATGTGGAGACGGTTGGTACGAACGGAGAAGTACGAATCCCAGCAGATAGGATAGACAACGCTATACCCGGTGAGCACACATCAGCGCTTCGTTAAATCTTGGAAAACCCGGGATAAAAAATGCAACTCCAGCTACAGCCATACACTTCTCCTCGTCCTATAGAAGAGGCTTTCCAGTCTCTAGTGATGCAGAGGCCAGAAGTGAAATATTTTTCGGACCATTCTGATCGGTGTCAAAGTAGGCACGAAAGGTTAGCATTTATTCTTCTGATAAGCTGTTCGCTTGCCACTGATACAGCTTGCAAACTTCTCTTTCTTCTCTGTTTTGGGTCTGTCCCATCCAAATAATTCCATATAACCGTTTAAGTGAGTTCTCTCGTGCCCTTTAAATAATGTGCAGGTATTATTCAGTAGACTACTTTCACAGACGATGTCATTTCAGTGTCACAACAGACATCTTTTAACTCAATGAGAACTTTAAATGTGCATTGTTCTTCTTAAGCAGGTACAACAGTCCACGAGTTCAAATTTGCTTTCCATACCGTTTTTTACGTGCACTGATAAAGGCGTTCGGGGAAAGAATGCCCCTTGTTACGTTTTTGCCATTTTTTATTTCAGTAGGTCCGTTAAAAAAAGATTTCTGGAGATAACGTGTTGAGAGAACCCCTGATGACTCGTGTGCACGCTAAATCAACTTCTCTATCAGAAAGAGCTTGCTGCACAGCAACCTCACGATGTCGAAGCCTCCTCAAAATCGACAGGCAGCAGATCGCATTTCCTGTAATTATATGCCAACTGTGCTCTTGCAAAAACGTAGCAAACACTGGAGAATTGCTATCTGTAGCTTAACTGTCCTCGGGTTTTCATCGACAGTCACTGACAAAACGCAGTGTTCGTTGGGTGGAACTGCATAAAACGCATGGTCACGCCGACTACCTCGGCGCGCACCGCTGTTAACTTTGGCGCCAAAACTTTCGCATATCCACACTTGAGGCTTAAGCGTGCATAGAAACCGGATTTATAAGCGGGCAAAAGCATTATTTTGGAATTTCAACGTTCTAGCTTTTCTGGTTCCCGAATTATTAATTTTGGTACCAAAAATTTCACGTGTACCTAGGTGAGATCTAAGAATGCGCGGGACAGCAGGGCTGAATTTAAGCTTATGAAGAACATACGTAGGCAGGCGAAAATATCCTAATATTTCAATTCCCTAGATTTTCTGATTCTCGAGTTAATAATTTTCATGCCAGCACTTTCACGTGTCCACGCGCAAGGCTTATGCGCACTCGTGAGCTGAATTTAACTTTTCTGGGTCATATGTCGGCAGGGAACACTCTCCTCAAATTTCAGCTTCCCGGGCTTTGTAGTTCCCAAGTTACTGGCGCCAAAACCGTAAGGTGTGCCTGAGGACTGAATTCATAGGTAGGTAGGAAACACTGTACCAAAATTTAAGCCTTCTAACTTTTTCTGACTCCCCAGTTATAAATTTTGCTGTTGAAACTCATACGCATCCATACCTGTCACTCAGGCGTGCGCACGAGCTGTATTTATACGTGGGCTGGATCATTATTCTGGAATTTTAGTCTTCTAGCTTTCACTGTCCCCGAGTTGTTAATTTTGGCGTCCAAAAATTTCACGCGTCTTTGCTTGAGATCTAGGCAAGCGGAGAAGCTGAATTTGAGGTTTAAGAGTCGTAAGCGGGCAAAAGGCACTACCCTAACTTCCCAGTTTTCCTGGTTCCCGAGTTAATAATTTACGCGTCAAAAATTTTATGTGTTCGTAGGTGAGGCCTAGGCGCAAGTAAAGGCTCAATTTAACTTTATGGAGTCAAATGCGGGCAAGGAACATCCTCCTGAAATTTCAGCTTTCTACCTCCTACGCTTCTCGAGTTAAGGCGCCAAAACTTCCACGTTTTCGCACGTGAAGCTTACACGCATGCGGACGCTGGATTTGAATTTACTAGATCGCATACGGGTACGGGGCCCCCACTCTAAAATTTCAGTTTCCTTGCTTCCTGGTTCTCGAGTTGGAACTCCCGGACAAAATGCACCCGGAACACACACAAAAACAGGGTCTTGACAATATGCGTTTTGTGCAACTGTTGCCACACAAAACGCATAAAAACGAGTCAATGCACTCAATACTTACCACATTCTGCTGAATTACTGAGAGGGGCACGTACAAATCATTGACATCCACCGATGCCGAATCGAGCATTGATGAATCCATGAAAAGTGATGAACTTTCACAAGACGGAGCTGAAAGGCTCATTTGCTCAGTCAAAATACAGATAAACAAAACTTCCCATCTCCCGATTTTTACGAAGTTTAAAATGCATGGAAACCTTAAACTTGAATCATTGAAGGCCACCACAAAAGCAGAGAGATTAAATTTCCCGTAGGTAGTCAAAGTGCTGTTAGGCAGTACACTAATCCTGTACAGTTAAGTGTTAAAAAATTTAGTCATCAAAAATTTTTAGGCTAATCCGATGAAAAACACTACCCAAAATAGGAAAGCAAAAATCACATCGAAGCGATGTCCAGCGCACTCAAAAATTCTTGACCTATTATTTCAGCAAAACACCTACACTACACCAAACACTCAGATTGGAAGGATTCGAATGTTGCAACAGGATTGAACCGGCACGACATTACCTGCTGGGGCTCAAAATAACTCATGAAGATGCCAAGATTTACAGGGATGTATCCAAAAAATCGTTGTACACCTGTTAAAGTTTGGCGTAGCTTGCTCGTTTTGATCTCCTGTTCTCTATGCAAAGGATAAAAAGAGGGGAGGAATTGAACACTAAAAAACATACCACTTTCGCTGTCCAAAGAATTGTACGAGTGCTTTATAGCATCGATATCTACTCCTACATCCACAGGGCTTTCCAGCGTTACTGAAGAAAAAAAGTGTTAGTTTAGAACAGTAGTATAACAAAACAGACTAATTCCAAAACATCATTTTTCTGACTTGGTGACCCATCAACAAGCCATCACTCTACTCCTCGGCCATCAAAGAAAGACATCAGGAAAGAAATAATGAGTGTTTTATCCGAAAGTTGGCAGCTTTGTATTCAGGTGCAAGAAAGAAGAGCTTCACCCTCCCTTTCTGCATTCACTCGACTGACGGAAGAGAGAGAGAGAGAGACAGAAGCATAATCGTTCTGTTGTTATACACATAAGCCCCACACTGCTTCTCAGGAATCAATTTATCACGGATTATCTCCCAGTCGTGATCCAGTCCGTACAAAAGTTCCTCTCGCTGAGGAAATTTCCGCTTGGAAAATCCTCTTCTCGCGTGCGGTTATCCACCCGACTGAACGCCTAGGAAGCGCCACAGCACAAAGGCTACTATTAAAAGATATCAATTCATCTCATGCTACATGCTTAATAACAATGCATTTTTCTGTGAAAATGTAAGGCAAAACTCACTTTGTGTGACAGCGGTTCGCAATTTCATTTCCGACGGTGGTTTGTATCCCAAATTTTCAATTATAGCAAGGCCACTAGATGTCAGGCGATCGTCGTAAGAAAGAACGTTAGAAGAGGGGCTTCTGGACATATGCACTAAAGGAGGCACGCTGAAAAAGCTCTGTAAAATAAACAATCGCACAGATATTTGCAAAACTCTGATTGGCGAAACCAGCTGTGCAGCAAGATTTGCGAAGGAGGTGAAGGGTGCCCTAAAGTCTCGACATAATTCGCAAGCTTCTGCAACAGCACATCGAAAACGCTTTTTGTTTACT